TCTTTCCTTTCTTCCTTCCTCCCTCCCTCCCTACCTCCCTCCTTTCTTTCTTTCATTCTTTCTAGACCATATGTCCATGTGTCACTCTGGCTAGCCTTAAACTCTAAGAAACTCAGCCTGTCTTTCAACTCAAGATCCTCCTGGCTCAGCCTCCCCAGAACAGGGATTGCACAGATATATAACTCTTCTCTTCAAATCATGATAATCCCACTGCCAGATTTCTCCTCAGTCATAGCTCTAATCATGTCATCTTTTGCTCAACCCTCTTGCAGACCCTCTTATGTCTTTAGAATATGATCCATGTTCCCTGTTCCCTATCTAGAGTGCTCAAGGCCATTCAGTTATAACCGATCAGGTTACAGCACTTTGCTATAACCTGATTTCTTAACTTTCACTGTCACACATCTTAGAGCCAATTAGGAAAAATAGAGTGGATTTAAGCGTGTAGACTTTGAGTTGGTGTTATGAAACTCTTGGGGATATCTGCTACTATTTTCCTCTTTAAACATGGCTTATGTTGCTTCTTCTACTTGTATTCTTCAGCTCCATCTGTTCCCTTACTGTGACTGTTTCGTGTCCATGTCCAAACATAAGCTACCCTTCCATTGTGCTTAGTTTAGTGTGCATTTATCTTAACCACAAAGAAATTTGCCTCTGCCACAATAGTATAAAAATTAACCTCATGTTAAAAAGAATTATTGGATTTTTCAATGGTATGTACACAAAAAGAAATTTGTGGTTCAGAGAATAACATGGATCAATGCATGCAGGACAGTGCTGAATGGAGGCCTGTGACATTAAAAGGCAGAAATATAAACTACACACTTACCCTAACAACTAGAAGAACTAACTTATCTTTGTGCCCCAGGTTCAGGGAGTCATCCAGCAAGCCTTGTAGTAAAGCAGCATCAGCATTTTTTTATTTTGTGGTAAGAGGTATGTAAATGTGCCTTTCTTTAACCTTGAGGATTATGGCCCATCCCTCACACACTCAGCATACCTGTAAGAAGTTAATGTACTGGAACATCTTTGATTCACTGCAAGGCATTTCATGAAGAAATTTTCAAGCAGGAGATTCAAGTAATCCTGGAACCCATTTTTTAACAGGCTTTCAGCAGGCAATAAAATGGTGACTCCCTAGTGAGATTCAGCTGAAGAGACTGTTTTTGTTTTTTTTTCTTCTTCAGAGAATTATGTTATCTCTCACTGTGGGAATACTTCAGAATACTGGGCTACAGTAAGCTAAGTATTTGTCAAGAAGGAAAAAATAAAAAGAATCTTAAATAAATTTCTTGATCATAGACACAGGAATCAACTTTGGTTAATAAGTAAAAAGCAAAGATTTGGGATGCTTCCAAATGCTGTAGACTCAGCTCGAGAATTAACTGGAATCAAAGGAAATGTCTGGAAATACATTTATCTTCAAATATTTTTTCCTAATGATACAAGTTATTTCATTTATTTACTGTATGATGAATCATATTCGGCTCTTTCTTTCATCTTGACATCACTAGATTACAATTTTATCTGGAAGATTGGATCGCTTTTTTAAAAAAAAATTGACCTCAAAATTTTATTCTCTTCCTAACAGAAGTTGCAAATAAGATCATGTGAATTTTGATTCCTAACAAAAGTTGGAACTTAGACCTCATGATTATACTGTGTTCATAACAAAATTAGGAGCTTAAAACTTTTCTCTTCTTATCTCTACCCAGTTCAAAGTGTTTGCATCTCTTAATAGCCAGCATTCTACTAGATCTGCAGTTGGGCTAAACACATTCAAGTCTCAGCAACATCTTTATAGTTTTAGCTTTTCTTTTCTTTTCTTTTCTTTTTTCCAGCAAATTGGCTTAGTTTGACTGCCATAGCCATTCTACTTCCTATCATAATGACTCTTGCCCTGGGCATATAGAGAATCCTTGCCCTTCTTGTACAGAGCTACTTTGTGAGGTTGGAACCTGCCACACTTCTTGCAAAAAATATGGTGGGTTTTAGGGACATTAACCATGATTGCAGGAAGCCTGCAGCAGCGCCCACACTGTATTGCTCTCTGTCAAATCTAGGTCATGTGCTTGCTATTGATTTCTGGCCCTGTTTTCTTATCTGTATTGGCAAATGAGAATCTAACTCCTCTGCCATCCAAAGCAAAAGACAGTCACATATATATATATATATATATATATATATATATATATAATGTATTTACTATATATTAGTTAACATATGGATTAATGTATATATACATCTATGTGTGCATACATGCATATATTAATCTCTTTTCCCAAGTCTAGGGAATAGGGTCAAGGTAATTGCCTTGAGGGCAGTCGTGGCGTTTTGATGAAGGGAGAGTGGATGCAAGTACCAAATGACAAATGTCTACAGAGCCTCAGTGTCAGGTTACCAGAGAAGTAGCCCAACTAATATGTCATGGATTAGTTCCCATATTGATCTGAGTCAAGGCTAAAAAATTATAGAAAGACAATTCTGCATGAAAAAGTTTATCCAACCTGTCCTTCATTTTTGTGCATAGCCTGTGAAAACAAATGAACTGTAACTAAAGGACAGAGAGCAGAGTAAAATTAAAATGACCCAAGATCCGTCCACCACTTTTCTCCATCGATGTCTGCAGGGCGTGCTGCTCTTCATTCTTCACAATTTCAATTTTTTTAATATTTCTATTGTTTTAAGAAATGGAATGTCCTTGAAATATCAGCAGAAAAATTCCCAGTTTTCTCTCTTCCCGGAAGCATAGCTTTTTCTACCTGTCTAGGTATAAGCTCCTTACTTTTCTGTATAAATCTATCTGACTTTGAAAACTGTCCATGTCATCTCTCCTACTCCCTTGTTACCAGACAAAATACTATACAAGAATGGATTGTCAGAAGAAAGTAAATAAGAGATAAAAGTGTAAAACTGGGTTCGCTGGAGGAGAATTGGCTGGCGGGGGAGGGGGAGGCGTGACAGAACTCACCCTTTTTTTTTGGTCCGGTCGTGGGGCTTGAACTCTGGGCTTGGGCGCTGTCCCTCAGCTCTTCAGCTCAAGGCGAGCGCTCTACCACTTGAGCCACTAGTGAAGAAATTATTGGTCTTTGTACAGCTAGAATTTTCCCAGGTAGGCCTTTGGGTTATGCCACAGGCCTTCAAAGTTCTCTAACTCATTATGTCACTCAAATTCTACTTCGTCAAACCCAGTTTAACTATTGTAGATATTTATCTCTTGATACTGACGCTAGATGGGGTTGTCAAGATGATTAGTGTCATGGATGTGTAGGTGTATCTATTAGGGATATAAACCATGCCATAAAACTACACTTCGCTAAGGTGAATTAGATTTGTGCATCATGTTCAGGTGTTTAATGCAGGAGCAAGCTATGAGATTCGCAGAAGGGAGAGATCTGAGACAATGAGGAAGGATTCTCGGTGGAAAGTAGACTGGCCTTGATCCTAAGAATGCATGGGAGTTGACAGGTGAAGAGAAATAGGAAGAGGAAAGAACCCTGAGTCAGGAAATGTGTCCAGTCTTCTCCAAGAAATGTTAGACTGCATGAGAGTTCATATTTGCAACACATTAACTATAGGCAAATGATTTCTAAACCTAGAAAGCAAAGATAATGATGAAGTATGAATCATTATTTCATGACTCCCTGTAGACTCATGTTTTTTTGTTGATGACCAAACAACGGTGATTTCAATCTTTTTCTTTTTAATTAATTAATTACTGTTTTGCTTGAACTGGATTAGTATTCAGAGATTTGTGCTTGTTTGTCCAGGGGGTGCTCTATCACTTCAGTCATACTTCCAGTCCAGCTTTTTACTGATTGTTTTGGAGATGGAGTCTTCAAGAGTTTTCTGCCTGATATGTCTCCTCAAACTGCTCTAATCAGAAATTCTTCCTAGTCTTGCTGCCACCAATCCAATCTCATCATCCTGGAGGATGACAATTCATGATTTACTTTTGGCCATCCCTATTTCTCTAAGTGCCTCTTCCTGCTCAAAATCCTGCGTGTGGATTATGTAACATCAACAGATACAAACATAATTTCTTTAGGGTTGCAACTGGAATGTGTATGTACTTCTTCTTCTATCCTTCATCTGCCAGATCTGCCAGGCACCATCTCTGCTAGAAGCCAGATTTGTCTTCCCTCAATTAGAAAACACCTCGGACCTCTCGACTAATGGGGCTGAAGTGTGTCAGAAAGGATTAGTGCCTGGGGAACCTATTCATCTTATTTTCTTTGCACGTTAAGTATTCAAATCTCTCAGAGATCAATTGTTAACAGAGTGTGCCCAGAGACCAGGAAGCTTTGGAATTCCTCATGTAATTCTTTTATGTGTTCTGTGTTTGCTTTATGTGGAATCTTTGTTATCTTTGAGTTTTATTTTAATGGTAAAATTACATTGTGCCACTTTCTACAAAGGCTTTTCCCACTTACTTCCTACTGACAGTTTAGAAATGTGTACATGTTGGGGGTGGCAGAGGCCTTTTGCTTTTTGTCTTCTCTGTGATCTTCCATCCTAGGTTAGAGAATGATGATAGCATGACAGGATGTTTGCAATGCCTCTTTTCCATGTTATCTCTTGGTCTTTTACATATGTAAATGTATTCAGTCTCTTTTGAAGTTTTATTTATTGCAAGTTAGAGTCATGTTGATGGCTTCTTATTCTAGGGAACTGACAAGCACAGTATTTCCTGCGCTAGGTATGGTCTAGTTAGCAGAACCCTGTCCTCCCTATGCTCCCTACTTCAAGGACACATTCTTTTTTTTTGGTGGGGGGAGGTCTGGTCATGGGGCTGGAACTCTGGGCCTGGGCACTGTCCCTCAGCTCTTCAGCTCAAGGCTAGCGCTCTACCACTTGAGCCACAGCACCACTTCCGGCTTTTTTCTTTTTGCTTATGTGGTGCTGAGGAATCGAACCCAGGGCCTCAGGCATGCAAGGCAAGTGCTCTACCACTGAGCCACCTTCCCAGCCCATAAAGACACATTCTTAATACAACAAATACTCTGAGGCTCTGAGTATAGAATGGTTTTCTTGCCTTTATTGATTATTATTATATCATCTTTAGGAAAAAAATAGTAAGAAATGTTGAGAATAACTCAGAGAAGCAGTTTTGAAAATAAACACTAGAGCTGTATATTCTTTTTTTTTAATTTATAGGTTTTTTTATTGTGAAAATACCAAATACCGTACAGAGGGGTTACAATTATATGGGCAAGATAATGAGTACATTTCTTATCAAGCATTGTTGCCTCCTCCTTTGTTCCCCCTTACTGTCCCTGCCCTCCTATCCCCCTCCCCTTGCCAAAGTTGTAAAGTTCCTTTTTCTACTTAACTACATAAAGTCTTGTACATATCATTGTTGCAATGGGTCCACCTGTATCCTTATTTAAACTTGAAGTGGGTGTTCTGGTGGTTAATGACAAAGTTACTGATAGAGTAAATCAGAAACAAAGTTTATGTAGATCACATTTTTAAAGACAATGCATAAAATTCAGAGGTAGGAGGAAATGAATGAAATGAATGAATTCATGATCAAAACCAGTATCAAGAGATCCAAACATGCAACTCAACATTAAATTGAGTGACTAATAACTTACTATAAATTTTTATATTCAAAGTCTTTTCAAATTTTTTAAATTTTTTATTGTAAAGATACTGTACAGAGGGGCTTAATTTACATGAGTAAGATAAAGAATACATTTCCTATCAAGCATTGTTACCCCATTCTTTCTTTTTCCCCTACCATCCCTTTCTTCCCCACCTCCCCAACGCCTCCCTCCCTCCTACAAATTGTAAAGTTTGTTTTCAACATAATGTCTTGTACATCTCATTGTTACGATGGGTCAACCTGTATCCTTGTTTCAGCATTTTGTTATGTCCCTTCCCCTCCCCAAATTAGAAAAATGTGTATACAAGATCCAGAATCAAATACAGTGAAAACAAGGATTATACCAAAATAATATAGGACATTGAAAACAACAGCAACAAAGAAAAAAAAAAAAACCTCTGTGTCCATGCTTGGGGTTCATTTCACTTAGCATCATCTTATATGGTCATATGTACATAGCTTTTGACCTTTTCTGCTTGTCTAGTAAGATTATCCTAGACATGTGCTAGTTATTACAAATAAGGGAAACCATGAGCCCTATGTTTCTTTGTGTCTGGCTTACTTCACTTAATATAATTTTTTCCCAGTCTTTCCATTTTCTAACAAATGTGGCAGTGTCATTCTTTCTGATGGAGGCATAGAATTCATATATATATATATATATATATATATATATATATAATCACATTTTCTTGATCCATTCATCTACTGAGGGGCATCTGCATTGGTTCCATATCTTAGCTATGGTGAATAATGCTGCAATAATCATTATTGTGCTGGTTGCTTTAGTATGGCCTTTTTTTGTGATCATTTGGGTAAATGCCCAGAAGTGGGATTGCTGGGTCATAGTTGAAACATTTCCCAAATTCTTATCATCGTTTTCCTTGGCCCTTTCTGTATAATATTTTTCAAGCCTTTGTAATAGTCCTTTGAAGTAGCTGTATTTTGCTTTCAGTTTACAGGTGTAAAAAAAATACTGATGTATTCCTCTTAGGTCAAGTAGATGACAGAGTAGGGAAGAATTTGAATCTGATACAAATGTTGTTAATTGCAACAGACTGTTTCAGATTCAAATATATGCAAGCTATAACCCTACTTACTTAGGTTATTATTTATCCAGGGAGAAAAAAAATAGTATAAGAAAAAACACTCAGTAAGGAGCTCAGTAAAGGAGGAGGAACACAAAGGCACAATACCTATGTGCCTCTGATCATATAAAGTAACATTTATTGAAATTAACTCCAAGAAATGGAACAAGAGGTTTTTCCTTTGTTAAGAAAAAGTATCACAGCTCAGCTAGTTAGTTAAATATAAGAAACAGTGGCAAATGACAGGATTAATGAGTGACAGAGGTCTTGAAAAGAACAATGACACAAAAAGTGAGTTTCGAATGATGCAGAACAGGTGAACTGAAGGAGAACCAGAAGACAAAAGATGAAGTTTTAAGGTTTGCTTTTTGATGTTTATTCATTCATTCAAAAATTCATTCATTCACAAATATTGTGAAGAACAAGATAGCCCCATCACAAAGGTTCCAGTGGGCAAAGTCTTATTGTGTGCTATTAGTGATGATTAGGCCATGTAAGCAATGCCTTCTGCATGGTATATATGACCTTACAAAATGTGAGAAAAGAAGATAGCACGGAATCAGGAAGATGGCCAGTGTTGGCAAAGAATTGCTGTTCAAATAGAAGAGTGGATTATGGTTCGGCTGTAACTACACAGAATGGAAACTCTCACCGTAGGGAACAAGGAATTCAATGCCAGAAGCAGGTGTTCCTCACCATCTCCCATGCATGCTTGGATCAATGCATAAAGCAACAATGAACAATGCTTCTATTGCTGCTTTTTTTCTGAATGAGATCACCAGGGAATTCTCTGTATCTATTATGCAGCCTGTCCATTTTACATTTAATTTAGCTGATTTATATTATTTTCTCCTAATCACAGTCCTCGGGAAAACAGAGGATAAGGATGTTTGTTTTATAAGGATTCTTGTGGAATAAACTATTCTTAAGAATTCTAGAGAAGGCTAGGTTGAGGGGAGGCTAACAACAGAGCATAGGTTTATAAAAGCATTTAAATTAGGATAGTCCTAAAAATGACACCAACGATTGATGGTTCCTTCAGTTGTGCTCAAGAGAGTGATCATGGCAATCTGGAATAGCCAGATGCATTTCAGAGCTGGGTCTGGATGTAGCCTTCAGAGGATAAGCAGGATACTCTAGGCCTGGAAAATATGACCATCTGGCTGGGACAGTAGCATGAGCAAATACCCATGGAAATTAATAAGCTATCACAAATCCATGCTTTGGGAAAGAATAAATGGTTATGATGGTGTGATAGCTAAAAGAAGTGACTCAGAAATAGGAGATTGAGGGCAGTAACAACTTGTTATAGTGGCCTCTATATAATAGCAACAACTGAAACTCTAGACAGGAATTGTCTCATGTGTAGACAACAAGGAAGATTCAAGATTCAAAAGCATGCCATAGTGTGTGTGTGTGTGTGTGTGTGTGTGTGTGTGTGTGTGTGTGTGTGTGTGTGTGTGTGTATTGGTCCTGGGACTTGAACTCAGGCCTGGACACTGTCCCTGAGCATTTTTGCTCAAGGCTAGTGATCTAGCATTTGAGCCATACCTTCACTTTTGGCTTTTTTTGGTGGTTAAGTGGAGATAACAATCTCAAGGACCTCCTGCCCAGGCTGCCTTCCAATTGCAATCTTCAGATTTCATCCAATTGTATAGATAGTATTATAGGCAGGAGCCAACAGACTCCAACAGTTATACTATATTTAATGTAATATATCTGAAAATTTATCATTTTACTATATGATCAATAAAAATATTGAAACATCTAATTTTTCCTACCACATCCTTGAACTTTAATGCACATTTCAGATATACAGCACACAAGTAGGATTAGCCACATTTTCAGTGTCCAATTGCTATTTACATCTATGAGCTCCTTAACGGCGTCTGTGAGTACTCTTATTATTCAGCCTATGAATCATCAGCATCTTCATTATCATCATCAACATCAGCATCATCTTCGAAGATTTTTTTTTAGAATGCAATATCCTAGTTCCCACTCTCGACGTACTGTATCAGGGCATACTCTCTAATGATGATTCATCTACACATTAAAGTTGGAGAAAAGCTGCTCTAAATTACTAAGAATAGAGTCTCTCGGAACAATCATGGAAAGAAGACACACTGAAGATCTCCAGGAAGGCTCGAGGAAAGTAATGATGAAAATATGAATAATGGAAGTTGATTTACTGAATGAAGGAGACAACAGTGACAAATGACAGGAAGTTTGAAGAGGAGGGTTAGAATTTAGAATCATGATTAAGTAGTTTCAGGAAAGGAAGAAAAAAGGAACTTGTGTGCAAAAGAGTTAAGAAGAAAATAATGGGGGTATGAAGTCGATTACAGTCAAAAGGAATGGCATCATAGCTGTAAAGGTTATCATTGTATACTAAGGCAAAACGAAACAAAACATAGAAACATCCAAGCAGTAGATACAGGTATTTTTTTTTAAATGTAATTATGAAGGACTTGTAGTGAAATGTTTCTCATTTCCTCTTAAACTCATTTTCCTGCCCTTGGCAACCCAATTCAAATAGTGATGATTTGGATCACACAGTATCTTTGGGATACATTGGGAACATTTTGAAACTTTATTGAAAACTAATCATGTGAATTCTGGGCCAGAGATGAAAAATGATCCTTCTTAAGCTACTTACTCAAACACCTTTCTGCCTGTGGCCCTGCCTAGCGACGCATGCTGTGGTTGACAGTGGCTGAAAGAGACCTACTTTGTTTCTGAAATGCTCCCTGACTTTGATGATTGCAAAGTATTTCTTTAAACAACATTGCTCATTACTGTTGCAAATGTTATTCTCTCTCCCTTTTTCTGCTGATAAAGTCTGTTTTTCACTCAGCTTCAATAAAACATAAATGTTTTACGTTGGAACACCAACCACACATATTAGGACTCAGATGAGCCCATTCCGTTCTATGAACAGAGACTTTTATTGTAATTGTTGTCAGAATGGATTTTCCATAAATGATTTGGTTGACATAGCAAACCGAGTGCTTTCCTGCATAAAGAAAAGCCCACTTTTATAGAAGCATGCATTTAACTTCACATTTCCATACTCAGGTCAGTATCTGGAACATATTAGCACTAAACAAATACAAGGATGAAGAGCAAGATGAATGTGTGAATATCAATACAACAATTATTTCCCTTTATATAGTAAAAGCAATGGCTGTTGGTTTGGTTATATAGTCCAATAAAATTACCATTTGCTTCAATGAAATCCCTAATTTTCCTGGTTTTAAAATTTGAAATTGGCCACATAATACTGATGGATCAACTCAGGTATCCATTCATATGCATAAACCTTAATCTCAGACTATTTATGAATCAGGTGGAAGTGGTTTTAAGAATAACTTTTGTGCTTTAAGAATAACCTTTGTTAAGGAGAACGTAAAAGGCAGTCCTTTAAACAATTCTGTATCATGTCTTTTGTCCTTTTTGGGGGGCAATGAACAACACAAAAAAGTGTGTTTAGATGACTTGGCCCAAATATGAGGATAAGATCCAATCTTATTGTATTTAAGACTCACAGAAAATGTGAAATATGTGCTATGTATCAATTACCATTCTAGGCCTCAGGAGGAATATAGCCCAGAAATAAATATTGCTTTCTAACTCACTTTCCTGTAGGGAAGGGAGCTTTTATGAAACTGTTATATAATTAAGTTATACAAATGTAGAAAAATATTATAGATAATGAGCAGAGTGCAAAGGAAGGAAGGAACAGAGTAAAATATTTGAATTGAGAGTTGAATGTTGTAAGATGGAAAATAGAGAAAGCATCCCAGGCAAAAGATTGCTAAATTCCAAGGTAAATATTCTGGTTTCTTTTGAGGTTAGTATGCAATATTCCAGGAAAGGTGTATAGTGTGTTGTGGTGAGGGGTGAGACTAGACCTTGAACAATATGTTCAGGTGCAGCTTGGGAAAGGCTGTATATTTTCTCAATCTGTGAAACAAAGAGCAACTGTGAAATATTTCTGAGGAGTGTACTTGTTTGATTAGACTGAGGTTTCTTAACCTTGTTGCAGTTTCTACAAATCAAGCACAAGGTAACAAGTAAAAAGTAAGTTTTAGGCACAAGACTATAATCTGCCATCCAACTCAAACTTGTATTTAGTTCCACTGCACTCAGATGATCAAACCTACTAACAAATAACATGAGACAGGAAAAACATTCCTTTGATTTGGAAAACAGCTGGGATACAAAAGAATGCTCTTTTTAAAAATATACAGAGAAAAATATTTTTTGTAGGAGCTAATTGTGCCTTCCTTGGGAATTAAGACACTCTTACATTTGTAACTTTATATAGCTTTATGACAATCACTTCTAATAAGAATAGCATTTTGTTACATTCTTTAAATTGCATCATTAAAACTGTCATTAACACACACCTATTTCTAACCTCTCAGTACATTCTGTAAGCAGTCTATATATAGTCACCGGAATGAAAACTTGTTCAGCAGAGCAGCAGTCTTCACTCCAGTAGGATTTGGTAGTTGGTATTTCTGTTTTCTGGTCCAAGCTTTCATGAGCCGAAACATGGGGTTCCATGTGCGTCCTTCTGTCAAGTGGACAGTCTTGGGCAGCTACTGAGCAAACACTTCTTATAAGTTGATCACAGATCTAGGCCCTCAGCCTCCTTATGACACTGCCAGGGACAATCATGTCCACTTCTCTCTTGGTACATTGTGGACAGTGTCAGAATGTATTCCGTCATCCACTTCTATGTTCAGTAATGGGAGCTGCATCCCCCCCATCCAGTGAATCTTTGGCACCATGTCATTTATAATTTGTCCCACCAAATCCAGGTTCAATTGTTGAAAACAAAAGCACATATTTTTTTATTCTATTTTTTATTTTCATGTTTTTATTGAAAAATTAGTGTACAGAGGGATTATAATTACATGAGTAAGTTAATGAGTACATTTCCTGTGGAGTTGTTTTTTTTTTTTATTGTGAAAATACTGAACAGAGGGGTTACAATTACATGGGCAAGGTAATGAGTACATTTCTTATCAAGCATTGTTGCCTCCTCCTTTGTTTCCCCTTCCCATCCTTTCCCATCTCCACCCTCCACCCCCACCCTCCTGCCAAAGTTGTAAAGTTCATTTTTTGACATAATATCTTGTACATCTCATTGCTGCAATGGGCCCACCTGTATCCCTATTTAAATGATTTAAAACCACATCTTTTTGATTAGGCCATCATACCAAATACTCAACCATTGTTTCTGGTTTGATGGAAGGGTAACCCTTCATCTCATTTCCCTAAATGTCTTTTATCAAAGACCCTGGGTTCTCAGTATCCTCTGAATGCAAGGTCTATATACTGTTTTCTGCTATGGCCATTGGCTTTACATGTTGCTCTGGCCTGGACACCATGGTGTGTGTGTGTGTGTGTGTGTGTGTGTGTGTGTGTGTGTGTGTGTGTGTGTGTGTGTGTTTTAAATAGTACCTGGAGTTTTTTGCCAGAAGGTAATTTGTTAGTGAGATTGAAAATAAAAGATACCCAAGTTCAGCAGGCTAATGGGACCCAGTGTCCAGAATCCAGGCACATGGCCAAGTTATTGTTGAGGATGTATGGGCAAATCTTGATCCTGATGTCATAATTTTGTTTACTTAGAACAAGGTACTCCACGAATTCACAATATATATATATGTATGTATGTATGTATGCATCTATCTATCTATCTATCTATCTATCTATCTATCTATCTATCTATCTATCTATCTATCTATTTGTGGTTACGAGAGTTTGAATTCAGGGCCTCCAGCTTGTTAGGCAGGTGCTCTACTACTTGAACTCTCTTTCATTACTTTTTTCAAGCAGGGTCTCTTATTTTTGCCCAAGTCAGCCATACAGTATGATCCTTCTATCTGTTTCCCATGTAGCTGGAATTGCATGTCTCAACCAGAATGACTGGAGATGGAGGTCTCCTGAAATTTTTTGCCTGGGCCATCCCCACACTGTGATCCTTATCATCTCTGCCTTTTGAATAGAGGGGACTATAGGCATAAGCCACCCAAACTGGCCTTAGACTTCGGTTATAGATGATGAATTCTAAAAGGTAGCGTATGTTTTAATCCCAGCGCTCAGCATGCTGAGACAGGAAGGTCAGGAATTCAAGGCTAGGGTGGGTTTTGTAGGGTAACTTTGTCTCAAAGAAAGAAATTGGCAGGATTTATTAAAGGAAAGAGGTATGCAATTATAAAAATAGAACCAGAAAAACTTAGTTAAGGATGGAAATGGAGGATGAGTAGCAAGCATGGCAATTTTGATAGAAGTGAATGAGCAGGAATAATCTAAAACAGGGCAGAGATTTCCAGACTGAAGGAAGGTGGAGTAACTCTCAAGGAACCCACCAAAGTTTGCTTTCTTATTCCTGTTGTTACATCTTCTCATATGGCTTTCACGACAGAGCATATTTCTTTTTTTCTTTATGTGTGTGTGTGTGTGTGTACAGACATATTTCTGTCTTTGCCTCCACACTAAGGATCTATTCCTTTCATTCAATTTCATATCAACTCTAAAGCTGTTTAGAAAATGACTTGTGGGGCCGGGCGCTGGTGGCTCACGCCTGTAATCCTAGCTACTCAGGAGGCTGAGATCTGAGGATCGCGGTTCAAAGCCAGCCCGGGCAGGAGAGACCGTGAGACTTCTATCTCCAATAAACCACCAGAAAACCGGAAGTGGCGCTGTAACTCAAGTGGTAGAGTGCTCGCTTTGAGCTGAAGAGCTGAGGGACAGCACCCAGGCCCAGAGTTCAAGCCCCATGACCGACAACAACAAAAAAAAAGAAAATGACTTGTGGTTGAGTCTCAGTCTGTATATTTTTAGACAAAATCATTAGGTCCAGGATTCTGAAGGGAAATGAGATAAGCTAATTAATGATGTAACTTTTACAATGTATTGTGTCAGCATTCTTTCCTTTTTCCTTTCCATTGTTCCTTTTCTGTTGATTCTTCTCTACTTCCCTTCCTTTCTTAAAAAAATACCCATAATGTCTTTGCAAAAGCTATTATTCTAATCTCAAAACTAAGGAGAAGATTAAGACATAGGGGATGTTTACCTTGACGGCAAGGATCAAAGAGAAGGAAGATTAACATATTACAGATAAATGAACAGATTTGACTAGCAGATAAATTGAAGGAGAGAGAGAGAGTTGGAGGTGAATGGGCAGGAAGAATTGAAGATAACACATATATTTCCAACCTGAAGAAAGGCATGGCTTTCCTGCCCAATGGCTGTGTCAGGAACCTCCCAAGAAACACATCAAAACAGTGTCTCATGTTCTCCCAGCTTCCACGTAACATTCATGATAATGTACAAGAAGTGTTCCTTATCAATAAAGTGAAATATCTTCTATTTCCATGCTTTGCAGAGACAATACTTTATATCATAAATCTGCCCTCTAGGTAGAAGCAAGTGATAATTATTTCATTGGACATAGAGTTTATGATTCCTAGGTTGAATTTTTAGAAGGAAGCAAGAACTAGAGACATTAGACACTCATTTGTGTATGTGTGTGTGTGTGTGTGTGTGTGTGTGTGTATGTGTGTGTGTGTGTGTAACCATACATGGGAGAGCAATGTTCTGAGTATATGACACTGTAACAGCACGATTCTTAAATCAGAAATAAAAGAAAATAACCCTTGTGTGAGGTCAAGTGATTGATTTTCTCAGAAGACTGAGAAATTACAGGCCATTAATGAACTGACAATGAGGCTCTCTGATATTTGTTTACAATATAATAGTAAGATTTTATTTTATTGTTTTGTGCTCAAGCCCTAGCTCCTCTTTATTTTGCCAAACATTGCAGGGACCAGTCTCTCCTGCTTAAACATAGATACCAGTAAACATCAGATGTACCTTTGGCTTCTCCTAACACAAGCTCAACATTGTGATGTGAATACTTGATGGTTTTTGACCCTCAGAAGCATAAAAGCAAACCTACATAAAGAGCAGATGACACTCTTTGAAGGATTGTATAATGGTTTGAAGAGCAACAGTGAAGCAGAACTTTGGGTACAGGTTTGATGTAAACAGTGGCATTTTCCCTTTTCTGCTATGCTTAACTTCAGATCGTGGACAGGTCGCCTTTTATTCTTGCTCAGAGAAGCATTGCAGTGGAATAATGTACCATAAATTCTCTTTACCGTTGAAGTGAAATATTGCTAGCTCAGTGCTTTGTGAAGGCAATATTTCATATCATAAATCCACCCACATAGTGGATGCCAATGATGCTTAATTATTTCATTGGACATAGAGTTCATGGCTCTGTAGCTGAACCTTTAAAAGTTACTGTTGAACTCAGTTCAACAGAACTCTTACGAAAATTCATTTCCATTTTCAGTGAAAATTGTGCTTAATAACTGCTGTGAAGTGTATTTAATTATATATCAGTATGCTGACAACAAGTAATACATCAATATTATTTACAACGTACCTATTGACACATACATTTGGAAGGTAATAAAGAAAACTTACTCTTTTGCTGCAGGAAATAAGACATGCTCGCCTATGTCTATAAAACAATTCTTCAACTTTTCAAATATGTTATGTAGTGTATAGTTCCTTTAAACAAAAGTGACACCAGGGTAGAATAACATGAAATCACAATTCTATAAAGATATGTGCAGCTTTTATTTTGTGGTATAGAATCTGGAATGCTTATACTAACTTGGAGCTTTTAACTGGATGTTGTCAATTGTAATGGTGTAAAATGGAGATTACTCAGGGTTATATGGCTGATTTCGATATAGTGAACAGTTTTCATTGAGGAGAAAAACAGGGCAATGTTTTGATATTATTTTAGCCACATTTTCAGAGGTTCGAAATTTTGTTGTAGGTTTCAAGGATTATGAACACTCCTGCCAAATGAGCCTCCTAGAAGTGTGAATGTGGTTCTTATTCATCTAGCTTCCTATCCATATGTTATT